AAGAAACAAAAAGAGGGTTTTGATTGGTCGACCGGATCAACGCGACGCACAAACACCTGGAGGGAGAACATGAGGGTTCTGCTGAGGTAGACAAAACCAGCACGTGTTGTATCGACTGAATGCACTCAACAACAAGATGACCTCAAGTTCAACAGTCAGTTTGGGTTTTTTGTTTCTTTTCATCCTGTTTTATTTGTTGCTGTTGTTTTGCAGCGACTCGTTTTCTTTGACATGAAAGAGTCGTTTTTTTTATCAAGTCTGGAAGTTGAGCAGAGTTTAGTGTTTGAAAGCAGTAAAAGAGGGAAACTTCCACGGTGGGTGAAAACCTTCTAGCGGCTGCACACACCTAAAAATGAATGTCTGACTTATTGTTCTTGTGACCTGAGAGCCTCTGAACCTCTCTCACGTTCTCCTGATGGATCGACCGTCCCTCACTTCTGTCAGGCAGCTTTTCCATTCATTCATGCTGCAGAGGAGAGCTGGTTCTGTGTGAGGTCAAGCTGACTGGACTTCCTCTTCACACACACACACACGCACACACACACACACACACACACACACACACGGCGTTGTGCGTCTGTGTGTTTTTACAGGTTTTTGGGTGTGTGTGTGATGACGTTGTCGTTTTCCTTCACAGCAAACAGCCACATGTCTGACACACACCTGCTGGACACCAGAACCTTTCCAGAACCTCCTGTCTCTGCTCGCTCCATTCGTTGTTTCCAGGATCCTTATTCCACCGACTGCGCTCACAAACAAACAGCAGAGCACGACTGTCTGATCCTGGAGGTTAGAACAGAACCAACATGGCGTCATACTCGGGCCCAGAACCACCACTTCTTACGTTTTGTCTAACTTTCATGTTGGACCTGAGGGATTGGACGGTTCTCCATGAGTTGGTGCAATTTGTCAAACAAACAAGAATGTTTTCCCCGAGCGCCTTAAAACGTGGTGGTGGGAAAAAAAGAGTTTCTTCTGACCACGGTGGCGTTTGTGCTGTTTGTTTGTGTGCAGGTTTGCGGCCGGGTCCAGTGTGTGGCTGCCCAGATCATGGCGCTGTCTCCATGGCGACGGCGTGCATGTGGGAGGCTGAGCTGCTGCGTTTGTTTGTGGAGTTTCCAGACAGTAAACAGTGTGGTGCTTCTGAAGCGCAGCGAGCAGCTCCATTAGGCCGGCGTGATGACAGGTCAGCTGACTGCTAATGGCTGCCCGGCTGCAGGAGGCCGGCTGCACAGGTAGCACGCTGTAAAACATGACGCCGTGCTACTGCTGCTGCGGCGATGCTAAGCTAAGCTCTGACTGTGTGGGACTTGTTCTGTATGAGAGCAAATATCTCCAGAAAGCTTTCATCTCTTCTGGAGTAAACAACAGCTTTAAGAAAGTAGGTCTCAGTTCTGATGGCGTTACAGACGGCGGCGCGGAGAGAAGGCCGGGGAGGTGACTCCAGGAGGATGACTGGGACGGGAGCACTGGTGGTTTGGATTTGAAATCTATCGTTACTGACACCAGTCCTGGAACTTTTCTGACCCGCCTGGGACAGTAGGAACCGTTTCACAAGGCTGTGAGAAGAGACCGTTGGTTATTGTTCTTCTAATGATGAGACGAGATCGTTGCGTTCGTTGTGCGAGAGCTGACTGCAGCTATTCGGTATGAGGCCATGTTGGCTTGTTCACACCGTGGCGGCTAATAACAGCCACCATCACACTGCAGATTTGGCTCTTCATCATGTTGGACCGTCATTCAGAGACGAGAGCGACAAGAAACATGAACCTATGCAGGACGAGGAAGCGGTGGAGGAGGTGGACTCTGGTGTCATGTTTCAGCAGCCTGTGAATCAGCTGACCCGTTCACAAGAGCAGAAGAATCAACAGTGAAAGTCCCGTAACCGATGACTGATGCTGAGCAAACTGGGTTTGTGGTGCGTCACTCAGCTGAAGCCTTCAGAGGGATGTGTACTCGCTGTGTGTGTTTGAGTCTCTCAGTGGGATGCGGGCTTATCCAGGTTTTTGAAATCAAGACATCATGTTTACATCCAGAAACACAAAAATACTTCAGAAAACCCGACCATGACCAGGATGTTCTGGTCCGCGTAAACACAGTCCATCGGTCCCCTTAATCAGAGATGGTTTGCTGCCCAGATCTATACATGTTTGCACCACGTTGCACCCAGACCAGCCTCCTCAGATCTTTATCACCTCCTCCTAGCAGAGCACTGAGGACAGCCTGTGGACACGTCATCTCCAGAGAACTGGGACGCTCCTACACAAGCTAACGGCCGCGTTCCAGCGTGAAAACAAAACCTGTTTATCGCTAACGTTCGTATGAATTTGCAGCTTTTATCTTCTTCATCACTGTTATCACAGTATTTAATCTTGAACTGAGAGCAAACATAACTTGTGGTAATGTGGCTTCAAACCACAATTACTTCCACGTATCAGCCAGCCCTCTGGTTTCCGTGCCAGCCGGCTGTCATCGCTCCAATAAAGCAGGTAGGCCTTCAGTATAATCTGAGCTTTGACTCAGTGGGAGCCACCGTGACTTCTTGCAGTGTGCGCGCCCCCTCACAGGGTGTTTCCCGTCCTGAGAGCAGAGTTAATGATCCGGTTACTCTGCTGTTTAATCACCTTTCCGTCCTGATTTTCACTCACAGCAGCAGCTTCATGGACTCTGCTTGTCTGTCTGTGTTTACTGAAGCCACCTCTATGACTCTCCATCTGTCTGGCATGTTCCTTCAGAAGCTTGTCTGGTTGTCGCTGCAGCTGTTTCCATCCTCTGGTTGTCGTGCTGCTTTTTTCCACTCTCTCCATGCGAGTGAATGCATTGTGTGTGAATGCATTAGTGTTTGTTGCAGAAAGAGGTGCTGCAGCGCCCACGGTCCACTCCAGCCATGTCAGCACATCCTGGCTCAGCGAGCCTCCTCCTCCGCCCGGCGCCTCCGTCCTTTCCCGTCCACACACGCCTCTGGACATCGGTTACAGTGCAACGAGAGAGAAAAGCAGTCGAGCAGGAAGAGGACGAGCAACGGATCGATCCAAGAAGGAAGAAACACTCACAGGAAGAGAATTATGTGATTTTTCAGTTTTTGCACAAACAGATCTGGAAGCAATTACGTCGTGTAAACACTGCATCAAGTGATACGCGCTGGTGGTTCAACGAGCCCACATATGGCTGCAAGCAGACCACCTGATATGAAAATTACACAAACAGAGCACAAAGGAGGAAAACAAGAGAGAGGAGAGCAGAAAACAGCAAAGTGGAGAGCGGTTTGAGGGGAGATGGAAAAGAAAAAGAAGAGGAGGACCGGGTGGAGGATGGATGGAGGACCAGAGGGACCGGGTTCTGTTGCTGCATTCAGGTCCAAACAAACACAAGCTGTTGCCTCTGAGCCATGTGAGCAGCAGACGGCAGGAGACGAGGGAGGAAGAGCGAGGACACAGGAGAAAGCAGATGACGAGGGCGTGGTCCACTTTGGGCTGGTTTGGAAACCTGCTCCAGCGTGAGTGGAGGTGCCAACAGACCCGATGAGGGAAGAACCTGTCATCCTGGTGTGTGGGTGTTAAATAAATGACAGATTAAAGGAAACCGTGTAAGGTGGTGGACCACCGTGAATCACCAGAGCAGCTTCAACATGACCAGCGCTGCTCGCCCAGAACCATCCGTTTCTTCTGCTGGTTGTGATGACGGTGGCGCTGAAACGTCGGTCCAACATGTGCCGTAGTCGTTTACGTGACTTTAATGATCTCTTTTTCAGGATAAAGATGTGAGGAATAGATTCTGACGGCGTGAAGGTGGATGAATCCTCCATGATGCCTCCCACAGGTTTCATGACCCGCTGACCGTCATCAGCCCTTCATGTGGAACAACTTGAAGCCTTAATATAACTTCAGCAGGTGACTTGTGTAAGAGAAATCCCTCCCTGTACACTTTTAAAAGTACCAAACCAAACTGTAACGTGTTCATTTCTGCTGTGCAGCTGCTCGTCTTGACATCGGGGTCTTTGGAGAATGACCTGCTTTCGGAGCCTAGTGGCCTTTCAAAGAACTGCAGGTTTTTGTTTTTCATGTTTTTGCCATAAGATATCGTTTTGGAGCCAAATGCTGCTATTTGGGAGTTTAAGGTAACTATAAAGACTCTGTCCTTCCCTTACTGAGGTCCACACTTCAGTAACTTCAACCATGTCGTATTTGTCATCAGTTTTTAGGGATGTTCCAGACAGCAGGTTTGGAGCACTTTAAAGTCACGACTGCATTTAGGGTTTCAGAGGCTCTCTAAAAGCCAATCAGTCCTCACAGGCAGCTCTAACAACAAAAACTACATGCATACACCAAACGTCTGGTGATTTAAACCAGGCTGATGAAGAGGTTTTCCAAACTTCTACCACACAGGCCAGCGCACTGTGCTGACTGTTCTGCAGCACCGGCAGTCCAGCCGCCGTTCAGGTGTTGTACAGGTTCTGTTCAGGGTTCTTTTCTCTCCCTTAAAACGTGTCCGGCTCAATAAATGCATCCATCAGTGAGCTGTTTATACAAATGGACAAATTAATTTACAGAAAACCTACATGATGTTGTAAAGGAAGGCCTCAATGAGAAACACGGTAATAAGAAGCTGTAAGAGAAAGGAAATGGACAGAATAGCCTTTTTCTTCTACCTGACAGGAAGTGAGACAGGAAGTGATCGATCAGACACACCTGTGAGCTGAGAGCTGCTGAGGCGGCGACATGGAGGACGGTGGAGGGCGAAGTGGCTTCAAGAAGAACTGTCCACCTTCTGTTCAAGTTTGCTTGAAAGAGAAATATATGAAGGTAAGCAGTAGTTTTGGAATCCAGAACCAGCTGGACAGAGGAACCCAGGAGCAGCCCGGCTTTGGACCGGATCTCACTTCACCTGTGCCACTGCTCAGACGTCTCCACCTGTTGGACCCTGACTGGGAGAAGTCTCGTATGTTTCTTGTCTTTCCTTTTGCCTCAGTTTAGGACACATTTTACTGGTTTTACTGGTTTACTGGCCTCTCCAGCGCTCTGTAGCCCGGCGCCAACACGACCACACCGCTCTTAAAGCTGAACCAAAACGCACCGAAACAAACTCAGACGATCATTTCGTGAACGAACTTTCTTTGCAGGTTTTTCTTCTTGACTGAGGAGCTTTTATTTTCTCTCTCAGGCTGCTGAAGGAGGACATGTTGTTTCTGATGTTCCGTTAATAATGACGTGAAGAGCCGCGTTTCTCTGCTACACCTCTAATGACTTATTAAAATCTGTTTAATAAGCTTCATGACCCTATCTGACCCCAGATCAGTGAGAATAGCTGACTAGGTTGGTTTAGCAGGTTACTGGGTTGGAGTTTGAAGTCCATCGTCTGGCTTCAGATCGTTTTCAAACTCATTAAACTTCATGGACAAGCTTCTGCTTTGCATGCGAGCGTCTCAGTGGCTGTGAAGCCACGTGTCCTCTGCTGCTGGCTGCCCGCTGTGGCCTCTTCTGTACCTGTCTGAGCACCTGTCTGTGTTTAGGGGAGTCTCTGCTGGCCGGCCCTGCATAGCACCGCCACGCTCTCCTCGCAAAACACATGAGTAATGCTGCAAAGATTTTAATAAGCCTAGCATCCCTGCGCCTTGCTGTGCACTTCCATTTACAGTTTAACAGTACCGGGACTCCTCTATAAATCACACAGCAGCCTTTTGGATTAGCAGCTACCCACAGCGCTTCAGGAATAGTTGAACCTCTGCCTTGAGCACACAGCACGCGCTTTCACTTGATGTGTAAATCTAAAACGGTAAATTCCACTTCGCCGCCCCGCTCTGGGTTTCTAGAAATGGAAATAACGGCGATCCGGAGCCGCCCCTCACACTTCTGATCCAGTCCTCGTCTCAGTAATGACTTCATTTCCTATGCATGCAGTCGGAGTGACAGCTGTTGACAGGCCCGTTCAAGTCCAAGTTCTGCTTGACGTTCTGGTCGAAGACAGAGATCAAGAGAGCTGGAGGGGGATCGGATCCAGAGGCCGACCGCTGCATGCGGTGGGCCTGACGCCGGTCCATGTTAGAGGCTGGAGGGAGGGCTCAGCGGTTCAGTGTCAGGAGCTTTAAAGTGATTCCTCACGTTTAAATATTTAGACTGAGTGAGCTTACTGCTGCAGTTTGCAAAGCTCCCCTGGTGGGCAGACGGAGAGGAAACGATATGAGGTGAGGAGAAAAGTAGAACAGCACAGGGAGGGATGAAGAGGAAGCCGTGGAGGAGGAGGAGGAGAGAGTTCCTCCCGTTGTTTGTTTTTGTTCTTTGGGCTGCAGTCTTTCATATGGCTCCATGTCTGTGGAGAAGCCGTGGCATCCTCAGGGCCGGTCCGATGGTGGTCTGGTCCCCTTCATCTCAACATCACTTCATCTTCTCTCCTTCACTTGTTCGTTAAAAGTTCCCACAACGAGCCCCTTTTCAACAAAGTAGTCACGTCTCCTGAATGTGTCCGTTTGTAGCTCAACAAGCAAAGTGTAGCGTGGTTCATGTCAGCGTGGTCGTGTAGCTCCTGGTTCTAGCTCTGTTCTAAGCAGCCTGTGGAGGTGTCTGTAGTGAGTTCAGCCCCTTCAGGAGCAGCACTCTGCATCAGTGATGGACAGCAGAACAGCCGTCCTCTTTTCTCACTTTGCTTCTGAGCGATCATTTCACATGGAGCCGGTGTTTTTAGCTCATGCATTTGGTGAGTTCTTCAGAGGTTGGGGGTGCATGGATGCTCTCGTGTTCACTCTTGCAGCCAGCAGCAGTCCAGACCAGTTTAGAGCAGAAGCAGCTCGAGAATTTAAAGAAATTAGAATGTTTTCCTTCAGTTGGTCAAATCAGGTCGAACCAAGTTCAGTTAACAAGTGCTGATGAGATGTTCTTATTTCAGATACTGTGGTTCAGACGGTTCATTTCACTGAAAGGCAACTTGAAGATTGCTTTGAAATGTAAAGCATGATTCTGTCTTTAGTCTTACTGTTGTTTCCTTTGATGTTGAAGTGGAAGTGAAGCCAACACCTTCACAGAACTGAGTACAGCTCGTGTGTAAGTCACGTCCACCACAGCTCACATGGCTGTTTACAGTGGAGGAGGCAGTAAAATGCATATTTTTAGGCTACAGCTATCGTTCACCCAGTTTCTGCATGGAAACTAAATAAAATCGTGAGTGGCTTGTAAAGGCGGAGGGCATCTCGCTGAGTGGGCTTTGAGGACGGCAGGAGGAAGCATCTTCGTTCTCTCCCAGCTTTTATTTTACACCTCCAAGTATAAAATACATACAAACACAGTAAACATGGCTTCTCACCATATGGCAGTTTTTAAAATGGAGCTTTTAAAGTTACAGTTTCTGTTAAAATGGCACATAAAGGCCTTTATTTTTTATATTTAAGCATGTATAAAGTAATGACAGATCTGCCTTTGTTATAAATGCTTACGTGTGTGCCATCTTGTTTGTGTGCTGTAAACTGGAGCGTGTGCGTGCATCAGTACCAAGCATGTGTGTTCTGGGGCTACGCGGTGCTTTACGCAGACCTGCAGCACCGGCGGGCATGAGCTCAGAGATACAAGTCATTGTGCAGGCATGTGGCTGTGCACACAGCCTGTGGCGTGTGTGTTTCACATCAGCTGTTTGGCAGACGCCAGCTGGTTCTCATTCTCATCCTTTAATCAGGTTCTGATCCACACCGGAACAACAGGTGAATGCAGTTAACCAGCAAGCAGGAAAAGCAGCAGAACCGCGGCTCCCTACAAGTCAGCGCTGGTCTTTATTCACATAGTTCTGCTGCAGCCCCATTTAAAGGCTCACAAGATGAAAGCAAGAGAAGACTGAAGCATCCATGTGTTTATGAAATGTAGCATCAACTTATTGGCTCTGGACAGGCGCTGAGATGTTCTTTCAGCTGCTAATGAAGTGTGTAATGTCTGAACAAGCTAATGAGCTGTGCTGATTTAATTACAGTACAGCTAAGAGTTACCATAAGACGGCTTCACGCAAACTCACTAAGTTACATTCCTGAAAATTTACAAGACGACAGAACCGTACATGGGCACCAAACAGAACCAGTTCTCCTCCCAGACTACTGAAAAGGTCTGAATCTCAGACAGGATTTGTCCCTAAAACAAAAGTGAAATATGTAAAGTTATGTGTGTCAGGAGCTGCAGGGCCAGAAAACCAGACAGATGGAGGACCAAGAAACGAGGACACATGGAACAGAAAACCTCCCAGTGACACAGGTTGTTGAAGATGCATCCTGCAGCTCAGTCACAAAGTTTGTCGACACACTGTTAAATGTTGGTTTATGTTCAGTTCAGGGACTGATGCTGCCTGTGCTGCCATGTCGTCGCATAGAGGTGGCAGCTTCTCTGATGTTTGGCCTCAGTTTTAGATTAGTCCCAAAAACGGCCTCATAATAAATCTGAACATTTTTCTACACAGCTTTGAGGGACCTTTATTGGACCCCGAGGCAGGACACGAGCTGATCCGCCAGAGGACAGCGCTGGTTTCTGCACCAAACCGCACTTTGTTAAAAATACATTTAAGTGTAGGCTGGTAGGATGTGCCTATCTCTCTCTCTGCCCATGAGTCCTCACCGCACAGCAGAAAACTCACAAACACACACATGATGTGAATACACGTTATCTTTGTTCCCTCCACAGCAGGAGGCAGGACAGAGACGGGCGGCAGCCAGCTGATGAAGGACAAGGAGCAACAGATGGAGGACTGATGGGAAGACAGCAGCTTCAGACAGACAGGTAGATAGAAGCAGATGTGCACCGAGGAGGGAAGAGCCACGGAGACAGAGCGTCAGCGGGCTCCCTCCCTCAGTCATCACCTCAGCACCACAACACCACAAGAGACTGCAAACACATGGGCCCGCTCCGCCTGCACAATGGGCCATTATGGGCCATTATGGGCCTGCACAGCGGCGCCACGCTCTCAAGTCAACTTTCAGCAAACACATCCAAAGTGGCTCAGACTTCACAACAAACACGTGTACCTCTGTGACAGCAGCTGCTGTTTGTGGGCGATAAATATCAGCCAATCACAGGACTCCATTTCACAAACACACGTGTGAGTGTGAGTGTGTGTGTGTGTGTGTGTGTGTGTGTGTGTGTGTGTGAGATGTGGTGTCTCGGCCGCGGCAGCGTCAGGAAATTCCACGGGATGTTTTCAATAAGAGGGCAGCAGCAAATGAAAACCTGCTGAAGAGCAGCACAGAGCTGCAGCAACAGCCTCAGCGCTGCTCGGCACAAAGCGGCGCTCGGCATGTGTGTGTTTGTAGTTTGAGAGGGCGACGGAGGACACGTTTTGTTGAGTGAGTGATGGAGGGGGAAGAAAAAAGCCCGCTGAGGTTTGTATGTGTTTACAATAGCAGCAGAACAAGTGTCCGGTGCCTGTACGAGCTGTCGGCGAGCATGCTTTTGGCTTCACGCCTGTCATCTGGTGCTGCTGTGTCATTTGGTCCAAAGGGGAAACAGTGATGCGCTCGTTTTGGCCTGGTGAGGAAACGCTGCGTCATGCTACGGTGGGTGCCTCTGATTGGTCCCCGTTACGTAAGGCTGATAGTAGCAGTGAGCAGCAGCGGGTGGACAGGAGCAGGATGGGAGAGGAGACGGCCAGAGGAATGGCACGGCGGCTGGAAAAGCTGAACAGAACTGCTCGATCCGGATCAGCTCGGTAACACAGTGTTCCTGGCTTCAGTCTGACGTGTCCCCGTGTTTCCAGGCTGGAGTCGGTGTTTTCTTGTCTGTTTACTCCCGTTCACCCGACTGGCAACCGGAAGAGAAATCTGGTCTGGCCCCGATGATCTGGTGTCCAGCTGTGAGGGTGTCCAAAGCTCTCAGACCACTCATTAGGGGTCGCCCACTTAATATAAGAGGAGGTCAAACTTCTTTCATCGTGCAGGGAGTTGTTTTGCCAGATAGTGCTTAGAAAAGCAAAATGACATAAGAAATGTAGTCCCTGGTAGTAAAGATATGAATACAGCACTGAGAACATCATAAGGAAACTAACATAGGACTAGAATTAACAAGGATGGTGATACTAAAGTCACATCACACATGATCATGAAAGACTGCACCTGACAAATGCACATTTGTCCGTCTCAGGCGTGTTGAACATGTCGGGGTTCAGGTCGGTGAGGTCTGCTCTGAACATGTTAGCCCTGAGGCTAGCATTAGCTACAGACAATAAAACGGACATCAAACTGTTAAACTCTCATTTCCATGTCTCCCTGACCAACAAACTGCCCCTGCTGACCACATCTGCCCAGCGGTTTGCAGTAATCCAGCAGCGTAGTCGCTCCACAGGCTCCCATCTGTTTACATCTGTTTCCCCACGAGATCACACGAGTGATGCTCAGCTTCATAATGTCCTGTAGCACGCCATGTGTCATTATCTTCAGACCTTCTAGTTTGGGATTAGAGGACGTGTCGAGTTTCTCCGTATGTGTGTGATGAAGCTGGTTTCTACATCTGTAACAGATGTGTGATGTGAGTGTGGCTGGTCTGAAGGTTCTCCTTTGTGGATGATCTGGATCTACCATATGATCTGCTTTTCTAGAGGATGTGTACAGATGGTGTCATGAACTTAGTAAAAACTGTGCTGCCCAAACTTTCCTCCTCCACCTGAACTCAGCAAAGTCGTGATTTGGTTGTGACATGATGAGAATGAGCTGCGAGGTCTAGAAGACATCCTGGTGGATGAAGAGCAGCGCTGAGTGGAATGAAAAGTTGTGAAGTCTTCTGGTCCCAGACTGTGCAGAGTTACTGTTAATGACCTGTTCCTGTCTCTGCTGTTTAATCCTTTCATTGATTCATTACACAGCAGTCGTCTGTTGAGGCGTCGGATGATGGAAGGACTCGCCTCCGTTTTTAAGCCTTGTTTCTAGCTGCTGGTGTTCTTTTTATAAAACTTTGTTACAGATCTGATGATGCACTCAGCTTGCTGTCCGTTGTCTCTCTGTAGTGCAGCATAATGCGTTTAACGCTGTCGTTCTTGAACAGACCATCATTACTGCAGTGCACTGGGTTAGCCGAGACTGCACTTAAAAGTAGTGCTTAACTAACATCTGGCATTTAGGTCATGTCAGAGTTTTTATATTTATTATGTTCACTCCATAAATAATTTAACTTCACTCTAGCATCACACCTGACCACTAAACAAACCATCTGGAATCACACTCGTGTCTCTTTCTTGTGACTCTGTGTTTCCTGACAGGACTTCTGCAGCAGTCAGTTTTCATCATCCAGCTCGCTTTATAAAAAGGAAAGTCCACAAACATCAAAGTGGTGCTGATACAAATCACCACCTCCAGTCCGAGCTATCGCAGCGAAAACAGGAAGCAGAGATTTGTGGGATTGGCCTCGAGCTGAATCGATAGACGTCGTATCCAGGCGTCCATGTGCACAACTAATCATGTGATTACGTGATTTCAGCTCCATCTGCGGAGGGAGTTGTGATTCAGACGGTGGATTCATGTGATCTTTGGGCCAATCTTTCCAGTGGCACACACACCGAGGCTCATTTGTCTTTTCATGTACATCACAGCAACAACAGCACATTTGCGTTTTCTTCTTTGTGTTTTTTTGCACATCATCCTTTAGAGCTGCGTCCATATTTTCTTCATTGGCTTCTTGAGTAGATCCAACAAAGTCGTGGAAGCTTAGGTTGAAAAAGTATTTGTTCACATGAATGTTCTGAGAAAGTTCTGCAAACTTCTTGTAATATTTTCAGTGAGAAGTTTTCTTTTAGTTTAGTTAGAGGCGTTCTTTGAATGTTTTGTGACCGTTAGCGCGTCCAAACTGAACTGAATGTTGCACTGTGAGCGTAACGTTGTGGAACGTTGTGGGAACGTTCTGTAGATTCTGTAATGTGTCGCTTCAACAATATTCCCAAAACGTCCTCAGAACGTTGCAGACAGAATGTTCTTCTTTTTTAATATATCACATCACAAGAACATTTTATTAAAAATCCATTGAAGTCCTCAGTAGCATCTGGAAAGCATTTTTTGAAATGCTGGCTGGAGAACGTTCCAGTTCTGTTATCGTGGAGCATCATCTGTGGCCTGACAACGTTCTCTAAATGTTGCTGTTAAAACATTAAAATAATAACTGAGAAAACTCTTCAAAATGAAATTACTCTTAGGATGTTCTTTCAACATTTGATTTAAACGTTTTCTTTAAAACAAAACAAGAAGAACTTGTAGGTAATGTTGGTCAATGTTTTGGGAACGTTCCGTGCTAGCTGGAGCTAACGTGTTAGCAAATAATTGTTTTCACATCCACCAGAAGGAAAGAACCTCTAGTTTGCCTCTTGGTTCTGACTTCAAGTCACATGTGCTGTCATGATAATATGTTTTTTTTTAGCTCTCCTGTTTCTTTTCTTCACTGATGACTAACTTTGTCCGGCCATTTGCTGATTAGCATTTTGTTCACACTGCATGTCGTCATTTGATTTGATGTTAACAAAAGATACAGACTGAGAAAAACAAGTGTCTGATGAGTTTTACGGATGCATTGCAGGCTTACAGTAAAGAGAGTCCAACCGCTGTGAAGTCTTGTGAGTTACTGACTGATGCTGAGTGTGAGAGAGGCGGGAGAGTCCGGCTGGCTGAGCTGCTGCTGTCGACCATCAGTATCATAAAATGTTGGCCCAACAAGAGCTCCGGTGAGACAGTAATACTGCTCAGTCAGTCTCTTTCATACTGCCCTGGATAATTCAATTACGCCTGCTGGAGCTCTTTGCTGCTGTCATTTGTATTAATAAGCTGTTGGTGAAAGTGACGAACATAAAGAATGTCTGTTACAACATGTGCCTGTTTGCAGATGTGTGTTCAGGATGGAGGAGAAACAAAGAAACGACTTTTCCGAGTACAAAAGCATTCATTCTGCACATAAAAGCTCCTCGGCTGCAGGAAGCTGTAGGTGTGCAGTGAGAGGAAAGGTGGAGGCGGGGAGGTAAGGTGCTGAGCCCAGCAGAGATGGATTTCCTGCCGCGACCACTTTATACGCTCGTCGTATAGTTTAATTACCCCGTGAAAAAAACTCCTGGATCGGACCTCGACGTCGGAAACTCTAGAGGGCCTTGACCTGAGAGCTGACCCGGCTCGTTCCCGACAGTCCTGCTTCCCTCCACGATCTGGACATTGTTCGTTCTGGACGCGAGCGGTCCGCTGCGACGGCTGCTGGAGGGCGTGAATAATTATCTGTTGTGTGGCAGGAACGCAGCGATTAATGGAGAAAACAGCCACAAGCAGAAGTTTTCAGGAATAAAGACGTCTGTCAGACGATCCAGAACATCTCACGTCCCACTTCACAACTATTTCACTTTATAATCCACAAGAACACGCTGTGCAGCACCGGCCCACTGCGTGCACTCACACACACGTCATGTTCGTATGATTTCTGAGATCTGACCATAAAGATTGGATTTTATGTGATCACATTATTGCACGCCCACATTTGGCCTGACAGCGGCTGTAATTCATCTCCCCGGCCTGTATTTACTTTACAGTATGTCTGGATAATCTTAACCCTCACACCCCCTGTCCTCTTTATTTCCCTTCATTACTCAAACTAGGCTCTGCGGTCAGATTATAATCAGATTATAAGCAGGGAACCCCTTTAACAAACCAGGCCTCCCAGCTGCAGGAAGGGGGTCTCAAAATCCTGAAGAGAAGTGCGAGCGTAGCCAGATTTGTGGGAGCGCGGCCGTCACTTAATACGTCCTGGCATCACCGAATGATAAAATTTCATGGCTGGTTACGGCCAGTGGGAAACTGGGACCAGCAGGGACAGTTACAGGACCGTAAAGACATGAGTCAACGTCCTGAATACAGAAATAAGACATGAGAAGAAGGAAGCTTTGTGACTGAAGCACCGTACTGGGGCTGCTTTATTTAGCATCAGCAGCTTGGAGGCTCAGTTTGTTATCTGACATACAGCTTATGTCTCATCAGAAAAGCCCATCGCGCTCCTTCATCTATGCACTAGTAGTATGTCCCCCTTTAAGTCAGCCTTCAGTGCATGAACCTTTGGTGGGTACGTCCCAGCCAGCCTTGCACATCATGACGCTGCTATTTCAGCCCATTCGTCTGCTCAAGCTCCCTGTGTGTAGCTCGCACAGGGATCATGAGCCAACAGCTCTTTTCAAGTTCAGCCACAAATTCTCAGTTGGATTAAGACTTGGGCCCAGACTCAGCCGCTCCAGAACTTCACCTTGTTGTCTTTAAACCAT